CGATACGGAACATTGAGGTGAACATCGCCATCACACACACATATATGCTGTCACAATTAAAATCGCTAATACAATACCACATGTCCCCCCATTTCCCACATATTTCTCCTCCTTTTTATCTTTTCTGAAAATGAAAGCCATTTATTCTTGTAATCGCCGTTTTTGACGACTGTTGTTGTCTATTCATATGTATAATAAAACCACACATACATATTTGTCAGGCGATACCCTTGGAGACCATCATGGTTATCATGGTTTAAAATATTGAAATCTGCTGTCACAATTCCAACACATTTCTCCTGCGTTTTAAATATTTTTCGCCACCGCGTTACGCATGGAAGGTGGCGAAAATAGTTAAAAACAACTGCGTTATAGCGTTCCGTAAGCATTTGCGATTCTAATGTTATCAAATTCGTAGATTCAAGGAAATGCCATAAATCCCTGTATAACCATGATAACAACTTCTGATAAGTTTATTATTACATAAACAGAACCACCTGCCCGACATGCTCATTACAGAACATTTCAATACATACACAGCACACAGATCACTTTTACGTTGTCCCATGACCTCATTGTAGACATGATAGAGCTACTGGTTACCGACCAGTTATCGCCAGTTTTTTTTTTCATTTCTGTCACTCCGTGATTTCAGTTCGAGAAAAATGATTTAGTTGATCTCTGTTATAACGTGTATAACTTTCCCGTCGTCTTCACAGCACGTGCCACGTGATCACGCATATACGCTTCAGTTATACAAATGACATTACAAATGTGTCGTCTGCAAACCAATATTCCCCACTTTCGATCTCTACATGCTATCATATGTACTATGGATTTCGATATATACACATGCTACGTACAGCTCAAATAGGTTTCAGAATTGTATTTTGAGAAAGAAATGACTGACCGATAGGAAGCAATGCCAGAACGGAAGTGCGTCATTGTGTTTTGTTTTTTATTTTCGAGTGAATAAGTCGCGATGGCCCACATGTCTTTGATAAAGCTGTATTCGGGCTTGGCGATTATTGTGGGGTTTTTTTTAAAAAATATTTCCTCACAAGTGTTTTGTCATTTTCGGATAAATCTTTCTCTCTTCCAATGAAAACGAGCAAAATTAAAATGATATCCCGTGCGACAACGGGGAGTTGGCGATAATTTATAGCCAGTAGCAATACAGTCTAAATAGTTTTGGTAAATAATTTGTTTACGAAATGTTGTGTCACATGATATGCAAATTAGGTGTAATGCCACGTCACCACTGCGCCGGAAATTAGCTTTTTGTCCGTCATCCTTTTGCCGGATCATGGTTGGTCAGATTACAACAATGGGTACCGTTTTTCAGATGGAAATCGCGCGGGTGTTGAAAATATTGAACTTCGTGGACATATCGTGCTTGGTTACCACATGTGACAAAGATTTCTCATGTATATATTCTGGCATTAAACAACGAGTCCGTGCCGATAACTCAAGGTGACAAATGCCGACTGACATGACTAACATCCCACGAACGTCTTTCGCATGCTCGAATTATTCCGTACCGTATCGCCACATAATAAAGTAGCGGAAGGGAACATTGAGGTGAGTATCGCCATCACACACACATATATATATGCTTTCACCAGTTCACAATTAAACTCGCTAATAAAATACCACATGTTCCCCCAATTTCCAACATATTTCTCCTGCTTTCGATCTTTTCTGAAAATGTATTTTCTTGGGGAATGTAATTTTCGATTCAATTGTGTGGCGGCAGATTTATATATAATAAAATCCCACATACATGTTTGTCAGGCGATATCCACGGAAACCAACCGCGTTATCTTGTTTTAATATATTGAAATTTGCTGTCTCAATTCCAACACATTTCTCCTTTTTTTTCGCCACTGCGTTACAGTGTTCCGTAAGCATTTGCGATTCTCATGTTATCAAAATTGTCATGCATAATTCATGGATTCAAGAAAATGCCATAATCCCCTATATAAACAACTAAAAATTCTCGTGCAAAATTCGTGGGTTCGAGGAAATGCTGGCTTTGATTTTTTAATGAGGTGCCATAAATCACTGTATAAACAACTTGGTGACACTGACAAGTTTATTACATAAACAGAACACCTGCCCGACATTCTCATTACATAACATTTCCTGTGTGTTACAGCAAAGATCACGATTGTATTTGTAGGAATTACCATAATTAATTCACATGGTGTAACTTGCGTTGACAATACGATGAGACCTGACATTAGGCACATGTAGTCAGCTGATCCGGTGGAAGAACTCTCAAGTGGTCTGCACATCCGGTTAAGGAGCTCTCAAAATGTGACGAAAAGTCTTTTCTTGGATACTTAAGACAGTCAAAGCTCTTGAGAATTTCCTTATTCTCTCTCCAATGTCTTTTTGGTTGAAGGCAACATTGTATTACGCTTAAAAATGACGATGTACTTATAGGTGTATATTTTATTGGCGCTTCTTCTTCTTGGCAGCTGATGGTAAATAAGCCGCACTCGGTTATCTCCCTTGAACGCACGCGAACGGCTTGCCCACCAATTCCAACACATTTCTCCTGCTTTTGATATTTTTTCGCCACCGCGTTACGCATGGAAGTTGGGGAAAAACATCGCGTTACGGTGCGTTATAGTATTCCTTGTGCATTTGTGATTCTAATGATATAAGTTTTATTACAAAATTAATCACATGAAGTTTGCAGTTGCCAATTGAAATTACCCTACTGTTTTGCATCATTTTTTTTTACATTTTCCCTTTCTAAGTCAAGATTACTGTCAATTTTTTTTTCAAAAGTACACTAATACAAACATTATGAATGTATGTTACTATTTGTGTCTTTCTTCATGCAAATTAATACTCTTTTGATACGAAAAAGGGGGAAAAATGTAAAAACAGGCCAAACTGAATTTCTACACAGAGTTATGGGAATTGAATTGCCGTGCGGGGAAGAGGCCACCCTAACTGATGAGTAAGTTGGGTTTTCCACTGCTTTTAGCAATATTCCAGCAGAATCATGGTTGGTTGGTTGGTTGGTTGGTTTGTTGTTTAACGCTGCACTCAGCAATATTCCAGCTATATGACGTTGATCTGTAAATAATCGAGTCTGGACCAGACAATCCAGTGATTGATATCATGAGCATCGAACCACGCAATTGGGATCGATGACCGTGCATCAACCAAGTCAGCGAGCCTGACCACCCAATCCCATTAGTCGCCTTTTACGACAAGCATAGTTGCCTTTAACGGCAAGCCTGGGTTGCTGAAGACCTATTCTACCCCGGATCTTCACGGGTCGCAGAATCATGGAGTGGGGGACACCAGAAACAACACATTGTAACCATGCTAGGAACGAACCTGGGCCTTTGGCGTGATGAGCCAACGCTGTTCCCACCAGGCTACCCCATCACTCCTTACAGAAGTGAGTCACCATATGGCTGAAATAATGCCGATGCGACGTTAAATTTTAACTCACACACTCACTCAGACGTGACAGATCTTCATTATGTGGAAGCAGTGGTTGACAAGCAGCCATTTTGGTATCATGTTTGATCTTCAGTGTGTGGAAGCAGTGGTTGACAAGCAGCCATTTTGGTATCATGTTTGATCTTCATTGTGTGGAAGCAGTGGTTGACAAGCAGCCATTTTGGTATCATGTTTGATCTTCATTGTGTGGAAGCAGTGGTTGACAAGCAGCCATTTTGGTATCATGTTTGATCTTCAATGTGTGGAAGCAGTGGTTGACAAGCAGCCATTTTGGTATCATGTTTGATCTTCAATGTGTGGAAGCAGTGGTTGACAAGCAGCCATTTTGGTATCATGTTTGATCTTCAGTGTGTGGAAGCAGTGGTTGACAAGCAGCCATTTTGGTATCATGTTTGATCTTCAGTGTGTGGAAGCAGTGGTTGACAACCAGCCATTTTGGTATCATGTTTCATCTTCAATGTGTGGAAGCAGTGGTTGACAACCACCCATTTTGGTATCATGTTTGATCTTCAGTGTGTGGAAGCAGTGGTTGACAAGCAGCCATTTTGGTATCATGTTTGATCACCCTTATCACGGCCCCTTGGTATCATTAAACAAAAGAGTATTTTTTTGCAACCCTGGAGACAATCGACACATCAGAATGTCCAATTTCATCAAGCAGATTTTTTTATAATCTGTGACCTTTCTGAATTTGCCAACTTCACATGGAAGCGAGAATGACACTGAGTGCTTTCTGTCTAAATTGGACCAGCTTTCATGCATCAAACAAGTAAAGTTGAGATCAAGTAAAAAAATTAAACACTCTTCATTCAAGATTGTCATGCAGAGAGTTGACAACCAGACTCCCTGCGATCTGAGCTGGGCCATCAGTCAGTAAGTTCAATAATTGCCAAGACAATCCTTATGACATCAACATTACAGGAGTGAGTGTTTTTGCTACCCTGTCAGTAATATAACTGGCAGGCATTAACCAGAGTCCCCAGCAAAACACAACGCTGTCAGCGCTATACTCTTTGGCGTCAGCAATAGCTGAAAACTTGCTGAAGCTGTGAGAAGTTTATCACTCACTCACTCACTCATGTGTAGGAGTGAGTGAGTGAGTAAGCATGGTTTTAACGGCGCTATTAGCAATATTCCAGCAATATCACATCGGGGGAGACCAGAAATGGGCTTCATACATTGTACCCACGTGGGGAATCGAACCCGGGTCCTTGGCGTGACGAGCGAACGCTTTGACCACAAAGCTGCCCAACCCCCCTCAATGAGTGTATGATATCTACTGTATGTAGACATGGTACCCTACCGCCCCAGAGGTGTTATAAGATAGTCGAGTGCTGGCCATTGCCCAGAGGATGTGATTTTATCATAAAAAGGTCATCATCATCATCATCATCAAATTGTCTTGGAATAATACATGAAAATGCCTGACCATAAATGTGCAGCAGAATGGGTGCCACTTATAAAAGTCTAACTAATATGCATAAAAGTCTAAACAATAAGTAAATATTTACCTTGTGTGGTCAAGTTGGTGTAGATGGACCATTCACGATCCAGTGTTTGTACCGTAGTAGAGGTCAAGGTCGTGTGCTCGCACAGCAGCGTCCTCTGTACACGTTTCACAATCCTCTCGACTTCAGCTCCGACTTCCTCCACGTAGCGAAATATATCCGCCTGACAAGAGAGATGATATTTGATGCAAACGTAGCAAAAGTATTTGGCTACACTACTGACATTGTCTAAATGAGCAGCAAGAATGGCTTGGAGTGACACTCTATTGCCTTAAATAATCACATTATTTCTAACTTCAGCATTTCCCATGATGTGTCAACTGTCAGATGCAACCATCTTGTTGTCGACCATATTTAACAAATGGACCAAACAAAAATTATATACGTTGAGGGGGATGTCCGAGTAACTCTCCATTCCTTAAAAATAATGGAGCAGAGGCCCATTATTTTTAAGGAATGGAGAGTTACGAGGATATTCCCCTACTTAAATTTCATCCCTACTTTTACACTTTGACAAATATTCTGTAGTTGAAAATATTTGAAAAATTCAAATGCTGCTTCAAGATAATGTACAGTTGACAAGCAACTCTCCATTCCTGAAAAATAATGGAGCGTTCAAACAATAGAATGACGTCACAGATGTGTTTTAAAAATACTTAAAAAATAATGTCATGGCACTGTAGCTCACCAGTATATGAAGTCAACTGTTTAAAATGTCAACAAAGACATAGGTAATAAGTACATGTAATTTCAGCTTCATTGGTCCAATGGTTTCTGAGTAGATAATGTTTACAGTGCAAAGAAGTACGTTCTGACAAAATTCAGTTGCATGGTCAAAGTGCGAAATAACGGAACACATGTGTTGATCCCCAAAGTATAGGTATACCAACAGGACATATATGCTGACCCCTGATATTAACTACACACATACTGAAGTTTTAACATTTGAGGAAAAATGACTTAGTAATGGCCATAAACATCTATTTCAATATGGCTGCCATGATGGCCATATTGGAAATCTGATTCAAACCTCTTGACCAATTTCAGGTGTCATCATTGGTGGGAACAAGCATGTGAAGTTATTGGTACAAAGGTTTCTGAAGATAAGATGTTCATGATGGGTGACTTATGATTATTTGGTATTTTCCAACATGGCTGTTGGCAGCCATATTGGATTCCCAATCAAGATGCCTTGAACGAACTTGGAACTACATGTGGTACCCATATCATTTACCAAATTTCAGGCTTCTGGCCCTTTAAGTTTTGGAAAATAAGATTTTTGAATTTCAGTATTTCAATTTGTTTATTTTTTTAAAAACTTAAAGGGCAGCCATACTGAAATTCCAGTTTTGATGCCTGTAAGAAAATTGAACCCCTACATAGTAACAAACAGCTGATTCCACCAAGTCTTTTTGAAGCTGTTGAAAATGTAAACATATAGGGCTGACGATGACGACGGGAGACTTGTGATGACAAAAGCTCACTTTGTCTTCAGGCCAGTTGAGCTCAAAATACAGTTTTTCCATTCATGTCTTTCTGTCTCCTGTATTTATTGAGGTTAATTTTCCAACAATTTCTCAATTATGTAAAAAACTAAGTCTGTGAGCAGCAGCAGGGCAGATTACGACAGGGTAGAGTCCCTGCTTGTCCAAAGAGACACAATGCTGCAGCTGGATCTAAACCTGGACCTCAGTGTCATGTAAGTCCAACACTACCAACACTGTGCCACCTTGACTCCCACTTAAGCACCACACAATACTAAATTTTCAGATAAATTGATCTTCTAAATTCCCTGCATTTGGCAAGTATTTAAGAAACGTGAGCTGAGTATGGCATTGATGGGTTTGATAGTGCAGGGGTCTGATAAACTCTCTGTCCGCTCTCATCACACATCCCCTCTATCAGCGCAAGCATCACTCCGGCCTTACTCTCATCATATTTGCTCAGAAGGATATCTGTCAAATTTAACCTGCATTAGCAAAAGACTTATTCAACCTTTATGTGACTGTCGATATAATCCTCACATAATCTATCAATCAAGCCTTCTGAGCTAGGGAATCAATTATTGACGGTCACAACGTCGTAACGCTATGTTGAGTACAGGTACCGCTGCAGGTCGGCATAGGGAGATGTTATGGAATGAAGCCTCATTTGACATGTTACACATTGTTACATGCAAATATACTACTAGAGAAGTTAAAGAACACTCCACAGAAACAGTGAGTGAGTGTGTGACTTGGGTTTAACGCCGCTTTTAACAGTATTCCAGTTATATCGCGGCATGTCAGCTTAATGTGGGAGGAAAGCCAGAAGTGATGCAGGTCTTAGACGTTTACCTTTTCGGTGAAACCCACGAGCACGGGTATGGTGCTGACAAACCTAGAAACATAATCGGGGTGAACCGGAATTCGAACCCACAATCATAGGTTTCTGGTGTACCCAAGGGACGCAACAGTCGGGGATTCATGAGTGTGGAAGTTCAATCACAAGAAGTATGGACTTGGAATGGATTAAGATGTCATCTGTCACACTGTGTCACAATCATAGGTTTCTGGCGTGCCCAAGGGATGCAACCCTGCACAGCAAATCTTGGCGCTTTAGACGACAGAAACAGTGATTACATACTACTCGGAAGAATGAGTGAGTATGGAGTTTACGCTGCTTTTAGCAATATTCCAGCAATATCATAGCAGGCGACACCAGAAAATGGGCTTCTCTCATTGTACCATTGTGGGTACTCTAACCCGGACCTTTGGCGTGACGAGCAAACGCTTCACCCACTTTAACCCCACCGCCCCCTACTCAAAAGAAGTTAGAAACAGTGATAATGATCCACTCAAAATAGTTTTAAAAACACCAAGTTTGTTCCTATCACACATGACCGCCTCCCTGGTCTAGTGATAGAGCTTCCTTGAGAGCAGAAGGTCAGGGGTTTGATCCCCGGCTGTGTCATACCAAAAGACATTAAACGAAGGTACTTGTTGTTACCCTGTCTGGCGCTTGGGAAGGGCTAAAACAAGGACTGGTCGGCTCGGAGTCAGTATACTGTGTCTGAGTGGGGTATTCATGTTAAACTGCGGTATGGTATCTCAGTGGGCTAGCACTGCAAAATCAGCATCAGTCCTGAGTAGTACAAGCAGCCACGGGCCCGCCCGTACGCACGCACGTACGTTGCTATATAAGTGCAATAATCTTGGACATGACGGTAAGCTCCATTTCACCTCACTTCATATTACATATCATGACAGATTAAATCCAGTAAACATAGAAGAATCAGTCTCCCTTAACTTCTTTTGAGTTTTATAAGATTCCTTACAATTATCATCCTAACTATTCAAAGATAATCTTCCAGTAACCATAATCCATTTTTCAAACATGAATTACCAAACTTCCGTAAAACTAAGGTTTGAATCAAATATTTTGCTTTGTGATTAAATTTTTTTCTTTCCAAGAATGTGTTAACATCTGATGTAAGTACCTATCCTAAACACAACTTTGCTCTGAGGGCAATCTCATCCATCTAGACATCTTACATCTTCTTGCTTGAAATTGAAAATAATCTGCCTTTTTAGCGATGAACAAAAACATTCTTATAATATCCATTTTAAAATATCTCAACAAAACTTGTAAGATGGGAAATTGAAAAGCAGTAAAAAATAGTTTGAGACCAGTTACAAGGAAATTAGCTGAAACATTTGTTCTTATTTCAGCTGCTCCAAGTTTTCAAATGTCCTTGATGCAGCTGAGATGATTTATCAAAACACACTCCGTGGACAAGGTAATCCTTCTATCAACAAGTAACAGAGCTCATGGAACAAGATCGCTGAAATAAAAATCAGTGTATCTCCTTAAAGAGCCCAACATCCCCACACACTAAAGGCCGACTAATAGTCCGTGGGAGACTGATCGCTCGCGAGACCTGGATGATTCCTAGCATGATATGACAGCTAAGTGACAGCTAGAGTAACCACAATCCTGTCTAACACGACAGTGGAGCCACCGACATCGCATCCTCAGCCTCATATTGCTATTGTTAAAAACAAGTAACAATCACATCAATCGGAGAGATCCAATATTGATAAAAACTACTTCCCATGGAAGACTGACGTCTCTGTACTAAAGAGCTCATTTTCTCTAAATTTGGAAAGATGTGCAGCTCAGACCATACTCTGTTTCAAAGGCTTGTTGTGTGTTTAGTGTTTTTGTGGGGAAGCAAGTCGAAAGCTTCAGACTTTAATCATCATTAATCTACCACAATATCAGGTGTTGATCTGTACCGATGAGTCTTAGGCAAAATAAGGAGCACTTCAAACGGACATGATCGATCAGTCTTCGCACTTAACACAACAGCAACACTTTCATCCCAAGCTTAAACAAACAAGATTGTTACCCCCAACAAAGACACATTAATGCCTTAAAAGCAAGGAATTAATATGATACTGGCTACATTCAACATGACTGAATAGCATCCTCAGAAGGCAGAACTTGATGACTGAACTGAAATCTTTCAGTTACTAGTATTACTATAAATGACTAAATCCTTTGCATAAATATAAAATACTAGACAACAGAATTGAAAAAGGATAAGTGCTAAGATAATAGAATAATGTCAGATAATCTTCACGTCCAGCGTGGTTTGTAAGTACGAGGCAACTGAACTCATCATGAGTGTGGAGTGAGTGAGTGAGTAGGGTTTAACACCGCTTTTAACAGTATTCCAGTCATATCACGGTGTGTCAGCTTAATGTGGGAGGAAAGCCAGAAGTAATGCAGGTCTCAGACGTTTACCATTTCGATGAAACCCACGAACACGGGTATGGTGCTGACAAACCTAGAAATATAATCGGGGCGAACCGGAATTCGAACCCACAAACATAGGTTTCTGGTGTGCCCAAGGGATGCAACAGTTGGGGATTCATGAGTGTGGAAGTTCAATCACAAGAAGTATGGACTTGGAATGGATTAAGATGTCATCTGTTACACTGTGTCTTCCGGAGGGAAATCTACCAGCTGTGAACTGGGGACGATCACACAATGGATCCATATAAGCTAAAAATCAAAGTTCAAAATGAACTGCATTCGGCCTGGTTCTGTGCTATTTTCCCACCGGCAAGGTGCTGCCGAGCCATGGCAATTGCCCAAGATACATGACATATTGATACC